AAATATAGAGTTCTGTAAACATGTTTAATGTATAGACAAAAATGAAGGCTTTAGACAATTTAGTAGACTGTTTTTCAGATGAGCAATAATGTCGACCTGACGAGGGGCTGTGCGAAGTAGTAGTCATGGTAAGTTAAACACAGAAAGACCACATTTATGTCTGTTTATTTTAGGCAAGGGAGCCTTATGAGGAGGCATTCAATTTTTGTGTACTTAAGAATTATTTGGATTCAAAGATCCTAAATCTGAGCCCCCATTGTGTATCTGAATGAAAAAGATATTGGTAGGAATTAAAATCAGTCACCATTTGAAGCATGTAGTTTCCCTGTTTGGCTTTGACCTATCTCATGCATCTATCAGAAGATCATGATTTGGGCCTTCCTTTTATCTTTACACAGAATTGGCTACAGCTGAAGAGCTGTTACAGCTGTGTTGGATATTGCTGAAAATTCCTAAGGATGACTCAGATGACAAATTACATTTGATAGAGAGTCTAGTGGGATTTGCAGAGTAGAGCTTCAACCCTGAGAATGATTAAGTTAACTGAAGACTCAACAGGGAACTCCTAAGCTGCTTCACCATGTGGCATCCCAGCTTCTGTGTCACCCCTGTGGTAAATTTATAAAGTAATCACACTATTCAGGAATGAGATTAGGTAAGGCAATGAATTTAAATTTTCTATGAATTTTCAAATATAATTACAATAGTGATGATAGCACATAAAACTATAATTAAAACATAAATATAGAAGTAGTTTTTTCAAGAGAACATGCTTACAATACTTCAGAAAGTTTCACAATTCAAGTAGGGGCTGGCCAGTAGTTTCTCTTTCAATTATTAATAGTCTGTTATGTAAGTAAGACTTCAGGTGACAGGTTTATGTCTACATAAGAGAAAAATCATAGACACTTACCTACTTTTGTGAAGCAACATTGATATAACAAATTCAAATTACCTTACATGTATATTAAGGCAGTTTCCTAGAAATTTTTACTTGCTCCAATTTTTGTCAGCTTTTATACATATATATGTGGGGGATATATAAACATATACACACAAAAACACGTATGTGATTTGTTTTGCATGCCCTAAGATTTTACTTCATTCATAAGTGTAAAGTAATGAACTTTTACTTAAATACAATACTGAAAATTACTGAAAGATTAATGACAAGACAAAAATCAGAATAGTAATTTTTGTAAATTGGCCACTAACTCTATAACGTTATCATTTTTTTTCATCCTTTCACAACACCTCATTAGAAAAAATACAAAGTCAAGTGTCAGATTTGTATTTACCACACTCCTAAATTGCATAATAACACCTTTACCACAATCAGTGACTAGTGGAAAGCATGGTGAAAATATTCGGAAAGTGTGCTAGTTAGTCCCAATTGCAATGAGTTATTTTGAGGGTCATGTAACCTCTTTGAACTTTCTGTTCAAGCTTAGGATACTTTCCAGCTGCAAAATACAGATACAAAAATTCAGAGCCTTAGGTTTAACAGCAAATAACAGGACTCAAGATGCTTAGTTTTTTCTAACTAAACTTTACTGAAACTTTTTTTTACTAAATGTCAAGAAAATATGAATTTTGTAAAAAAGCAATTTTTTTTAGTTAATTCCAATTCCAGTGAGTAATTTTGAGAGCCATGTAACCTCTTTAAACTTTCTGTTCAATCTTGGGATAATTTTCAGCTGTAAAATACAAGATAAAAAGTTAGAGCCTAGGGTTTAATAGCAAATAATAGATAGCAATTGAGATATTTCATGTTCCTAACTAAATTCTACTAAAACTTTATTTTACTAAATGTCAAGAAAATATGAATTTTGTAAAAAAGTGAAATTTCTAGGCTAAAAAGAAATGGTTATTAATATAGTTTATAAGAACAAAAACAAGGGGTCAATGAACTCTACCTTGGGGACTAGAGGGAAATTAAAGAAAAGAGTCTTGAAGACTTGGTCATATAATCACTCAAATACTGGGACTATCATGTCCCACTGCCATTGTAATTGCCTCAATCTTGGAAATATCTAGAGTTAAATGTATTTAAGTCCTGCAAGTACAACATGACTTTTCAACCATATTTGTGGCTCTACCCTGCACATACTAGTATTTGTTCAAATTCTTTTAAAGGAAATACAACTCTTCAAATGTGGTTTTACCCTTATAAACTGAATGAACTGATCCACCTTTCTGGGAATAATAAAGAAGGCCTGGGTTGTATTTTACAATTGTATTGGTAGTTATGTTATCACAAGTACTTTTCAAAAGGCTTTACGGTGATTTGAAATCTAGAAAATGTCCCTAAAAATAAAGCATCTTGTTGGCTTCAAAAAGAAAATCACACATAAAGCAGCACAACAAAGTGGAGGGGAATGGAAAGACAGAAAGACTGAAACATTTCTGTTCCATGTGTTTTCCATGATGGAGATAATTGATTTTCTTAGTGCTCTTGTAGAAAGTGCTGCTGGCATTCACCGGCCTACTGAGTTCATCACAGCTGTGCTTGTGCATCTCTCCCAAGCTCCACTTTCCACTGAATTGGAAAAGATTTGAATTTTTGGTTGATAATCTGCCACACCCTTGCTTTGCCTCATCTTTCCAGGCACTCTCTTTGTTAAAGGAGATCCAGATTAACCAGTGCTTTATTTGGTGCAGGTATTTACATTTGTGTTAAAACTCCAAATGCAGTCCAAAAAGCAAAATGACATGTTTATGTGTCCTGGTTAACATCACTGAAGTCAGGGAGGTGTGGGAAGAAATGGGTGTCTAGATAACAATGAGGACAGCAGATCCTAGTTTACCTAGTTCAGACCCCGTATTAATAAATGCTTTGCCAGGAGGAGAAGACAATAGGATCTGAGACACAGGATAAAAAGGATCCTAGTGCGAAACCTCCAAGTAGTGAAGAATGGTAAATCAGAATATCTGGAGAACGAATTCTCTAGGTCTTGTCTGAAGACCTTAAAAGACAACAATCCTTCCACATGCAAAATATCAGCTAATATTTTGTAAGTGATTGCATCAATCATGAATTTTTGTCATGAGTATAAGGCTTTTATATGAAATAGCTAACCAAATTAAGAACTTCAGAATAATAGTAATTTTATTTATAATGGCTAAAATAAAGCATAACAGCATTATTTTTAAAATAACATTTCTAATTTTTTTATGGTGGAAAATAAATCTAATGAAGAAACTCAATAAATTTCAACTTTTATAGACCATCTAAAACAATGCGAGAAATCTATTTAATATAGATACGTCAATTATACGTAGATACAGAGACATGAGAAAAACTAAGATGTTTCTGAATTGGTTTGAACACAGGAAATATTTTTTGAGTACGGGAAAAAGATGTTTGAAGGACAGAAAGATGCATATAACAGTCTTTCCCCAACATCTCTAATGTGATCCAATAGAAAAGCTTATATTCATGACCATTCTCAAAAGTTACTTTCCCCCCACGCCCCCAAGCAAAAACTCCCCAATCCAAACTAAGAAGATACACAGGAGGTTGGTCTTGTTCTAGTTTTCCTTTCCTGTCATCAAATGATGTCATTACATTGAGATGTCTTGGTTTGTGCTCCTTGTGATTAAAGATGTAAGAAAGCAAGTGTTGGACTGACCATGCTTACAGGACTCATGTACATCTGGGAATGTACATATGACATGAATTGAGTGAAAATTGAGTAACACAAATTGGAAGAAAGAGAAAGATGAAAATAAATTTAAAGGAAGTAATTTACTTAAGGAGCAAGGTTTTGCATTGAGGCATGAGGAAGTGACTTCCATGAACAGCTGTAAAATGGGGAGAATTTCATGTGCACAGGCATAGAGATGGACATGTTTAGGTTAACATGGAAAAAATTCGTTCAAGTGACCTCAGTTACAATTGAAATGTCCACTGTAGATTATGGAGATAGATGAACTTACAATTAGGGTATAAAGAGATAGATAACTATGAACTTATGCTTAGGGTATAAAGAAATATCTGCATTGCCGGATATATACTTATACTTTGGACAGGCATATTTTTCCTGCAGAGATTTATCAAAGACCTATAAATGGTATTTGCCCCTCTTTCAAATATGACACAAAAATTGCTGCTTAGATAGATCCTGAAATGCATTGGAAAGTTTTGTGGATGAGGATCTGGAAAGTATCCACATGAAAGTCTCAATTAGAAATATTTATACTGATCTTTAGAGTAATGCAGAAAAAAATGACAACTTTCTCTGGTACTCTTTTGCCATTCTATGTGATAAACTCTTTCTCTTCCAGTTTCCTAAAAAGTTATGTCATGAGAAGGCTGAATTTTTCTCTAGAAAAATCTGTTCTATCTTTCCCAGGCAACATAAAAATTGGAAATCTCACAAGAAAGCACTCTAGCTTGCTAAAGAAATTTGTGAGAAATGGAAGCAGCTATAGATAAGTATCTCACTTTCAGGAAGCCATTCAAACATAGCCCAAATACTTTGTATTTTGACATTTGCCTGAAACCTAACTTCTGGGACCAGGGTGGGTGGATGAGTCGAAAGGGCAAACGGAGGCTTTTTTATTTCAGTGAATCTCTTACAGTTTCCTATTTAAATTGAGTTAGAGTTAATTCTGGCAAAATCCCAACATAAAAATCTTCTGGGAAGATCAGGTCTGCAAATTAGACCTACCAGAGAAATGGGCATCAAACAACCATTCGAAATTAGGCAGTTGTTAACTTTATAAGGGAAAATAAAAATATATACCTTTAAATTATATATATTAAAACATAAGGCAGAGCAAGCATTTCTATATACATTCCTAAGTTATACAAACATATACGTAAGACTGAAATATGTAACAAACTTTTACATAAGCAGATGTATACAAACTCCAGATGTACTCTTTCTTACTCTGGGTTGTGTGTTCTATAAGGGAAAAAGAAATATTTATCATTTCTTTTACTGCTGAGGGGATGGGTGCGGCTCTCATATTTCAGAAAGGGGCTGGAAAGTGAGGGAAGCCAAACTTTTTCCTATTTAAGGCCAAAGCAAAGGAATCTCAGTGGCTGAGTTTTATGACGGGCCCGGTGCTGAAGCGCAGGGAACAACTGATGGTGCTACTTTGAACTGCTTTTCTTTTCTCCTTTTTGCACAAAGAGTCTCATGTCTGATATTTAGACATGATGAGCTTTGTGCAAAAGGGGAGCTGGCTACTTCTTGCTCTGCTTCATCCCACTGTTATTTTGGCACAACAGGAAGGTGAGTAGGTACTGATTTCAAGAAACTTTATGGGATTTTTGTCTTTTCTTCTCCTCACAAAGAAGGGTATAAAAGGGAGTATCAGCTGCCTGATTAAAAATAATTTTCTCTATAAGCTCCCAATTGTGAAACATTGAACTGACCATGACTGTGTTTTTCACATTTGTTGAAAAATCATAGTATTATGTTATGTGTGTATTTAGGAGTTCTGTGGTTGTTTAAGAAAAGATGTTCTTGTACTAACTGGTTTTCATGTTAAAGGCACTGGAAACTTTTTAAAATGGCTTTAAAATTTTTCCCTCCTGGATTGCTAACATCTTGGAATGCTTCCCCAGGCAGTCTGGAAGTTATTGGTCTCTTGTGATAATTTTATGTTCCTCTTTGTCTGCTGGATTTTTTGTAAGATTAGAATATTGAACATTGTTTTCTAAATAAGAATGCATTTCAAATAGCATGGATTAAGAACAGTCTAAAGGAAGGTACTATGCATTCAGAATCATTGAATACATTTCTGTAAAATGGCAACAAGATATCTATAAACATTCCTCAAAGGGATCAGACTGCTAAAATATTTTATTATGCCTGTTTTATTCTATTTCAAGAATGACTGATTAATTCATATTTTTTAGTAGCTTGTTGTTAAGGGACTAATATTTTCCACATATTCTACATTTTAACTGCATTCGCATTAATGAAGAAAATCCTTTTTAAAAAATGTTTTCAACAGGAGTTTTGACTTTTCTACAAACAAGATAAAGATACTAGTACTGTTTGACTTCAGAAAGCTGTTTTGCTGTATTTTCTAATAATCGCATGTAAAGTTTTTCATATTCTATTTTCTCCTAAAAAAGATATTTGTCTCATTATTTATGTAAAAATATTATTTTATTTACCATAGTCATGAAAATACTGAACAAATTGGAATACAAACTTCCATAGAAATAAATAATTAAATGTTAAATGTAAAGATAGGAAAGCTTATTAGACAATTTTTATTGTACATAACTAAACATGGTTACATTTAAAACTATAGATTTTGCAAAGACATTGTATGAAAATTTGTCTTTTGTTTGTAATATCAAATCTTTGTTGTCCTCTCAAGTAATACATGTAAATGTATGTAAGGGGGCAGGAGTAGATATACAATGAAATGTCTTTAGTTACCTTCAGCTCATGGACACAAAAGAAAAGAAACACCCATATTCCTTGTTCCCTTAATTTCCTCTCCTTCTTACCCCTCCTCTCCTTCCCTTCCCCTCCTCCTTATCTCTCTCCGCCCCTTTTGGCTCCTTTAGACTCCTCTTCACTCATCACCCCACCCCTTCCTAGGCAAGCCCATCTCTACTCCTCCTCTGTCTTCCCTGCCTGTTATTCTCTCCCTACTCCCCATGTGGCCTCCTTATGTCTCCATTTCTTTTCTCAGTTCTCTCTCTCCTTGCCTCCTCACCCTTTCTTTCCCCAGAACTCTCAATCCTTCTTCCTTTCTTATTCCTTTCCCCTTTTTTCTCTCTATCCTGCTCCTCCCAGAAGATGCCACAACTGCCAGCCCTTTCTTAGGATAACAAATGACTGCTATCCCCCACCACCCATTTATTGAGAAGACTATGAACTTCGGGATTTTAGCTCAAAAAATTGCAACACATTTATAGTTGCCTACTGGTTACAAGCTTTTTATAACCACTGTGGCTCTTTTTTTCCCCAATCTAACTTTAGAGGGGGAGTGTTTGATACTTACATCACATTAAGCTCTATTTATTTTCCTTTTTCTCTTTAGATGCAAAAAATAATAAGATTTTGCTGATATGTGTTTGTGTGCTCTTAAGCTCAAAAAGAATTGAAAGAGATCTTGTTCAGCCAATTTTTTTTTTGTCATGAATAAAATAAAGTTTCAGTGATTTAAGACAGTACATCTTATGTTCCCTATGGGTTTTACAAGAAAATTGTGTGAGTAGATAAGCTTTGGAAAAGTTATAGTAGGTATCTGAATATACAGCATACTGGGAGCTGTCATAAAATTCTGGGGTGGGGTTTCTTATATATGCCCTCATAACTTCGGAGACAGCACAGCTCTAATGGACACTCACTTCTAGTTCACACACGGGCAATTTCTGGAACATAAGTCCTCAAAAAGAATTTTGGTCTTTTTACAAATTTGTGAAAGTTGTATTTAATTCACGTGTTTTATTTCACCAATGGAGAAACATGGTCTGTTTTATATTTCCTGAAGTTTTTAAACATGTCGAATTTTAAGAGCAAAGATGCGTCACCTAGTGGCTGACAAGCCAGGTTACCATTTACATGATGAATGCCAATATTAATGCTACATAGCTGGCTTCAGTAGTTTATAATGTGCTTTAAAAAAATAACATGCATGAATTTTGAATGTTAACACTGCTTTCCTAAGGAAATTAGTATATTATGGATAAAATAATATAAACACACATACTGACACAAAAACACAATGGTAACAATATTCAGAGACTTTTTGGAAATTAGCTTAAATGTTATGTCTATTAAAAAATTACACATATGACTATATTTTAAATAAATTTTTCATATCTCTGATATAGCCTTTATTTGACATAAGTATTTTATTCACTCTATTTGCTAGATAGATTATAGACAGCTGTTACTAAGTAATATTGCTTCATTAGAGCAAAAACAAACTTTATTTTAATTAAATGTGTACTAATATTTGAGTTTCTATATTTTGCTATAGTGATAATTCCAGTAAAATGAACTGTGGGCCTTTAGTTGTTTTAGAATTTTAAAACTGTAAATAAACTCAGAGAATCAGTTTCTTATTAGAGGTCATGAGAGTCTATTTTTCATTACACTTTAAGAGAGAATTTGTAACTTAATCAAGATTTCTGCTTTGTGTTTGTCCCTGCAATTAAACATACTGAACTAACAGAAAAATGAAGCAACAATTTAGAAACAATTGCACTTTTAAGGGGAGAGGATGCATCCTTGCTCACGTATCTCAGGGTCAGTCATCTAACATGGATCAGTGCTTCATTTGAGATTACAAAATTAGAAAATGACAGAGTCAAGGTTAGGACCAAAATTCTGTTAAGTCCTAGATAATTACAGAACACACATTAAAATCACAATATTTGAATTTTTTTAAACTATTTGTCATTGAAAGAAGATACTAAAAAAATTATCATCCTAGAAAGTACATGAGCTAATGATACATTTCTAAAGGTCAAAAGAGTAGGTATTTTTCTGTTTAATACTCAACTTTATAGAGAGCAGTAAATTTAACCCCAGAAGCTCAGGATCTTATGATTTTAAAAGAAATTATCAGTTCCATGTGAGTAAATAAAGTATTATAATACAAAATTTTGTGTTTTTGTATCCATGATACCTTGCATTTCCTTACCTGAGCTTGGAAAAGTTTGGATTTTCAAAACTGTCTATTTATGTATAGGTCTTTAGATCACCTGATGTTGAATATTCTTTAGATGATCTAAAGGCCTATGCATAAAAAGATACTTTTATTAAATTCTGGAATTAAACATTTCAGCATTATAAGAAAAGAAAGCAAAGCCACTGAAACAATTCTAGGAAAGAAGGAAAGACTGTGTGATTAAATGCCTTTTAACTAATTCAGATTCCTGGATCGATGTCTTATCTACAGGCTTCTTTTTAAAAATCAAGAATGATTGGCTGTGAGTTTGCCAGGATTATAGTTGAGACTAAAGGACAGCTCCTCAGGAAATCCCTGTTCTACATCCACAGTCACATGCTGGACCTTGAGTTGTCACTCAGAGAAAAGAGTGCCATCTACCGAAACGCCACGGTTTCCATTGTGAAAAAACTCTGAAAAACTCTGGCTTCTTTGGTGCAGAGTTCCAAAAATTATGTAGCCCAGCTCTTTTATTTTGTAACATCTAGTGATATCACCGTCTTGAAGTGATTAAAGTAGATTGCTTAAGAATTAAAGCTTTAAAGATGAAAGATGTTATTGCTTTTGCTGGACATGAGGAACAGTTGTAAAGTTTCCAGGTCTACAATAACTTTCTGGAACCCTCTCAGTGAACTGTTTCTTGTAAAACAGTTTTCCCGAGGAAAAAAAGCTCAATCTCATTGTTTCCACATTCCAAAAAAAAGGTCATATAGTGTAAAAAAACTATCCAGACTTTTCAAAGGGGAAACTTTGCCTGTTTCATGTCAAGATGACAATGGAAAAAATGAGATAGCTATTCTTACATAAATCATTTGTGAACTGCAGTTTGGGGAGTTACATTAACCACTAAAGTTTCAGTCTGTGTCTAATGAAAACACAGCAGAAGTGGATTCCTTTCAGATTAACTAATAAAACCCTTGTTTTTTTCCATGACTGAGGTCAAGCCCTGCTGTTTAAAATGTAGTCTTAATGAACAAAATGAAACATTGAAAGAGGATGAGTCAAAATGTCCAAAATATGTAAACATAAAAGAGAAAAGATCCAGAAATTATTAAAAGTTAAATTTGCCTCAAAAACTAGTATTGAGAAAGTACTGCTTCAGTAAAATGACATATTTTTCTGAAACTGTTTCTCTATAGTATTTCACATTGGAGGATGACAGAGACTGCATTTATCAAGTAAATTAAGATCATAGAAATACTCTTTGGAGTTGCATAGCATATTCACAACTTTCAAGTTTCATTCAACAAAAACATCTAACGAACATAGATATGCATTAATATGAATCATTTAACAACTATAGTTTCTGAAAAATAAGGTGCTAATGAGACATCTTAAATATATTTTTGTGTTGGATCCAGAAATCTTGTCTGTTATTAGAATCCTACTTGTGTGTATATAGCAAAACATATGCTGGGTTTCTGAATCACACATTTATTTTGTTGGTGGTCTGGATGTCATCAGAGTGGCTTTAGAGATATAACCCTTCTTCATAAGGTCAAGAGAAAATAAACAGGAGAATTTAACTCCAAATGGCATCTTCCTGTTTTGAGGCCAGATAGAAAAGATATTTTGCAGAGAACTGTTTTCCTTAAAAATACAACTATCTAGACTCAGATTTTAACCTTGCAGGGATAAAAAAAAAAAATCACATAGGACAGAGCTTTGAAGCTGGCTTCTTTAATTGTACTCAGTTTTGAAATAGCAGAAAGAAAATAGAATGCAGTAATTAAGAGTATCAAATTTAGAGAAAGCCTTCTTACACTCAAATCTTCTTTTTTACCCTGGCTGTGTAACCTTGGGAAAATTACCTAATGTTTCTACGGTTTAGATTCCTCACCTGCAAAATTAGGATTATGACAGCTCTAAGCTCACAGGGCCTTTGGGAGTATGAAGCAAAACAGATATGCAAAGTACTCAGACCAGTTCCTACAAGACAGAAGGTACTATACAAGCTCTGCCTACCACTAGTTTTACTAACACTGGCAAATAAAATGAAGGAAGAAATTAAAGTACCTTAGTAACTCAGTGATAAGGATGGTGAAATGTAAAATTTTATTTATAAGAATATAACATTTAAAGTTATTTTCCAACTGTAATGAGACAAGTAGAATATATTCTCTTCAATGTTTTTATAATTTGACTCTAAGCAGATTTTATTATATATGCAATTGTTGGTGGTTAGATATATGATACTTTAAATTTTCTAATTATCTAATTATTTTATTTTAACAGAATAAAATACTAATCAACTTAAAGGAGATTTCTAATTGAAGATTGAAAATGATATGTTTATAAAATATGAAACAAGAAAATATCTACGAATGCTAATTTGTCAATTTATTTTTCCTGGAGAGAGCAAGAATAAATAGAATCTTTTTTGTTGTTGCAAAACAATGCTTTTAAATTAAAATTATTCACCTAGAATGTCTACAGATATTTTCTTCAGAGTCCTTTTTGTTAAGTCATCTAACATATGTTAAGATACTCTAACAGATACATAAGCAGCAGAAAAAAATATTTTATTAAAATTTATGTTTTCCAAACAGTATCATTTTTTTTAAACAGTAACATTTAAAAACCAAACCAAACATGTTTCAATTGGAAACTATATGAACTCCGATTACCCACATGTACAAAATATTCAGCTTTCTAAACTAATAAAAATAAATTATGATAATCTACATATCATATCTGTGATTCTAAGATTTTAAGATTAAAGAACACCTTTTCTCAGATAAGGGTTCAGCAAGAAGAGAAAAGGAAAAAATATTCACTTGCTATTTAAGTCAAATTAACAATTGTATCAGGTGCTTTAGGGAATAATACTATTGCTCCAAAAATAGTATTAAGATAAAGATAAGTTGCATTTTTTTGGTCCTAACAATATGATTTCTTCAAGTCAGCATGATTTAACATAAAGAATAGAAACAAAAATCACAAAAAAGTAAGCTTTATGCATGTCTAAAAATATAAAACTATGTTATCTGGCTTTATTTTTCTCAAAAATTCCAAAAAAGAAAACTAGGAAAGAGCTAAGAGTGGTTTAAGTCATGTGATAGCTTCAACATAGTTTATGTTATAGATCCCAGCAAGGAGATGATCGAGTCTAATGCATTGCTTGTGTGGTCACAAGTAAATTTCTTTCAGAATTTACTCTGTAGTAAGGATAGAAACACCAAACAACATGGGAGATGGAGTTTAAAATTAATTACAAATTGGAACAGAGAGATTTAGTTTAAACAACCAAAATAAAGGAAGTAATTGGAAAATCCATTAATTTCCAATAGTAAAATGAAATCATTTGCCTTTTATTTAATCTTTTTGGGAAAAAAAATAAACTTATTTTTTTACCAAATCTACTCTGAATACAGATATCTAAGAAATGAAGAGAATAATATGAGATGACTTATTTCTGAATCCCATTTTCTATTCTATTTCTGAATGTTGCAAATGGCTAACTAGAGCATTTTTATTCCTCTTGAAACAAAACATTTTCTTCCTTGACTTTGCCATGATTTTCCCACATATTACCAGGTATTAAACTAAGGTCCATGAAACACCAGTCTAAGAGGTTTAGCTTTCAGTAGAATATATTACTAACCATATTTTTTCATGCATAGAATAATAAAGAAAGCTACACAAAACTCTATTTATTCAGCAAAGGTAAATAAGTTTGAAAAACACAGAAAGGCCTAATTTTCAGCCGCAAGTTTTTACAGGAACTGATTTTTCAGGAGAGCCAAATTTATTTCAAGTGGACGTGAAATAGTTATGGCAATAAACAAAGTTGCATTAATTCTTATTTTTTAAGCATTCCAACTCTTTTCTTTTTTTACTTAAAACAATATGACTTTCTAAAGTAAAACAAAGTATGCACACACCATGTTGACTGTCATGTGCAGGTCAGGAAGAAAAAAATACCTTAAGAATATGACAATGTTTTAAATTGCACTAAAATAATCTTTATATTGAGACCTCTGTGTTTTAAAAAAGTACTATAATATGCTTCTAATTAAATTTGGAAACAATAAGCTAAATAACTACTTAAATTTTTATAACATTGAGTTTAACCCAATTTTAACAAATTCATTTACAATTTTAATGTCAACATTGTTCTCGTTTATTTAATAATTAGCGGGACAAATGGAAAGTACTGTATTTCTAATGATGTGAGGACACCCTTAATGAGGCATAAACATAGAAGAATGAATACAAAGAAGGTAAAAGTATTTATGTTAATTTCTAGGCAGATCAAGAACATACAGAAGATATTTAAAATAGGAAATGTTTGACCCTAACTTTAACTATTATCCTCATTTGTCTTTAATATGCCTTCAGTATTTAAGAGCCGCTTTTTGTAACCCACATGCTGTATTAAATGTAAAAAGATATTCCTGATCCAGAGGCAAAGAGCTAAAAGACTCATCTGTACAATCTAACTATGTTTTTGAGGATGGATCTGGGAGGGCTTAAAATATACATTAATGGGAAAATCTTGAGTTGAAACTAATCTGTAGGAACATTTCACATAAAGTTGATTTAGAGAAAATTTTTAAGTGGTTCATTTTAATAAAAAGTACCAATGCAAGGCATGTGTTCCATGTAATTTTACGGCACAATCTTCCAACCCCAAATCTTCAGGCTTTTCCTGTAAACTGGTGAACTTAGGACTTAAATATAAGATGCCAGTTCTGTCTAGAGAACAAATGGGTTTAAAGCATTGACCCTCCTATGTTATTGGTGTTCACAGCATGTGTAAATGATTAATGTGCTATTCTCTTAAATATATTTTCCATAACACCATTCAAATAGGCCTACTTCATTTGCACTGAGATAAGCTTTCTGGTGTTCAGCTTTTAGATTCACTAAGAATTAAGAAATGCTCCTTTAAAAGCTTAGGAAATGTATACAGAAAATATAGCCCGTCTTTTCATGTATGTGTTTCAAGCATAAAGGAGGAATTAGAATAACTTTTTTAAATAAACAAATTACTTGCCTACTTAAAATTGCAATTAAAAAGTGAAGCTTTCCTTCAGTAGCTGTAAACTACATTGAGAAATTATAACACGAAGAAAAAATGGATTTTTTAAACTTCTCGAATAGATCAAGTGTGTTGTATAACATCATTAAATTTGTATCAGAACAGGAAAATGGAAATGAAATGGGGAAGCAATTTCAGTACTCTCTAGAGTCTAGGCTTTGAAATTCTTTTTGGTAAACATTTAGTAAATCAACTAAACATTTCAACTTATTTAAATATGAACCTAAATTATTATTTCCCCAGATAGAGTGATGATATAGAAACAAGAATTTGAAAAGGTAATCTTTGTGGATGCATGTAGTGCCCAGATGGAAAAATCTCAGGAACACTGAAAGGCCTCTTGACCACTAGGTAGTAAAAAGTAGTTTTGAACTACTTGCCTACCCAGAAGCAGACCTCCTTTAGTAGACATTTTAACGGTCATGGCTTTGAGAAATAAGTTTCGCTGTCTCAAAAATATAAATTACTGAACAGTACATCATTTGTTGTTTGCAACAATTTTTGCAGATGCTTAGAGACTTATTTATTTACTCAGTTACTGGCAAACTATCACACTAATTGTCAAGAACTAAAGTTGTGTTTAAGCACAATCCACAGCTAATGCTTTAAGAATTGAGACCAGGTTTTGTTTTGGCAATTCCTAAGCTGATTCATTGTTAATAGCTGCTGAAATTTCAGGACCTTGCATATAATTATGAAGCAAGTCTAAAATTTTGGTTGAAGCAAATTTTTTAACATTTCAAGCCACAAATACAGATGGTTGTGATTCATATTTTCCCTATTATTTTTACCAATTCCTTGCCAATATTTATTTTAAAAACATCTTTTTCTTTCTTTTTGGTGATTTGGAAATGACTTTCCATCCATATGGGATATACAGTATATTATGTCATATCATGTTGACCTACTAATGCCAAACAGAGCTAACAGTGACATTCAATACACACAATAAGTTCTGTTAAAGCTTTCCCAGGAAAATCTGGCAAAGTTTTATGGTGCCAAGATTAGCTCAGTTTTCCCCTGAATTGCTCAACTAGGTTAATAAAATCCAGAAAGTCTTCAGAGTTAGTGACAAAATCATCTTTTTAGTTTAGTTTAATGCTCCCATCTGCTGTTAAAGCAAAGAATAGCAATGGGTAGAAAAGCTTATTTTCAACTGTGCAATTAATCCATACATGTTTAAATATTGTGTGATATACATTGACGTTAAATCTTACTATAAATGAAATTAAAATACCTGCTAGTATTAAGGAAAATTGACTGTGGTGTGCCAATTTTATGTTAATAAGCAGATATGATATTTTAATTAATTTCTTTCTACTTAGCAAATTATGCAGGGAAAATACAATTTTCTAATGAAAGGAAGAAATTATTTGTTTCAAACCATCTCAAGTTTGGCTATTGTTAATTAATAGTCCTGACAGAGTAACAAATATCAAATTTCAGCAAAATTAAAGGGAACTTCATGTCATCTATCTTGTTTTTCAGCTGTCGAAGGAGGATGTTCCCATCTTGGCCAGACCTATGCGGATAGAGATGTCTGGAAGCCAGAACCATGCCAAATATGTGTCTGTGACTCAGGATCCGTTCTCTGCGACGACATAATATGTGACGATCAAGAATTAGACTGCCCCAACCCAGAAATTCCATTTGGAGAATGTTGTGCAGTTTGCCCACAGCCTCCAACTGCTGTGAGTTTAAGATAAACTGTACATCTTCAATATTCATATTTAGACACATGAGTAGTTCCTATATCATAGGAGCCTAAAGAAAATGAAAGTCATGTCTGTCAAACAGCCATGTTGGTATTCCAAGTAAAAAGCAGACGTTTCAATTTAGAGATAAGGATTGGTTAGAATCTGGGTTAAGAAATAATGCGCAAATTCTATGCCTATTTTAAATTGTTTCTTTTCCATTTATTAGCCTACTCGCCCTCCTAATGGCCAAGGACCTCAAGGCCCCAAGGGAGATCCAGTAAGTAAACATTCTTCAGTGGAATAAAATTAATACTAATGATAATTCTAGTAAGAGTTTCCTTTTTTCTTATCATATCCCTTCTAGATTTGAACGTCCATCATACATTCTCTTTAGTACCACATATTTGAATAATGGCACCAAACAACAAACTGAGAATCCATAATTGTACATGTAAAGATTTCAATTCCCCAAAATTCATATTATGTCTTTACCCCCATGATCAGTTTGAAGAAAACATATAGGTCAATATACAAAGGAATACATTATACTTAAATTATTCACAGATTTTGATTTAAAAGTATATGAAGAAAATATATTACTTACATTGATTCCTAATATTATAAAGCAAGGAAACAATAATATGATAATGATTCTGAATCACCAGGATTTTTCACTATTTACCTCTTTTTTTTTTTTTTTTTTTTTTAGGGCCCTCCTGGTATTCCTGGGAGAAATGGTGACCCTGGTATTCCAGGACAACCAGGTTCCCCTGGTTCTCCTGGCCCCCCTGGAATCTGTGAATCATGCCCTACTGGTCCTCAGGTATAATAAATTACAGTATTTCCTTATAAAGCTATCTGGTTCATCTTCTTTCTTTATATCTCACTATTGTGAGTTCTTTGTATCTGTTCTCTGATTCTATGTATTTAATAAATCCTTATTTAGTGTTTTTATGTATTAGGCACTATTCTAAGTGCTCTATAAGTATTCATTCTTCCTCATAATGCTAATGTTATTGCTACTATATCCTTGGAAAATTTGCCAATTTCTCAGTAGATATATAGCATACACATTATGTTTAAGAAGCGAACTATCAACTTAAAAAAAAATTAACCTACATAATTCAGTTAGTACTACATCTATACTTTATTCCCTTAGTAACATCAATGCCAAAGCCTCTAAAAGTTTAGACAAAAAGCAGTTGAATAACTGCAAACATTCATATTGAACTCAAATCAACAGGAAAATTTCTGCCTATGAAACTGCTCTTGCTAATACTTCAGAGCACATCTTGGTTCTCCTGAAGCATAGCAACCAATTAACTCTACATGTAAAACAACCAAACAAATAAATATGACAAAATTTCTGTTGCATGGAATTAGGTAAAATAAGAAAACGTATCTTTAGGAGGTTAAAAAGTGCTTTTCAAAAAGCAACTCAGCAAGAGCCAAAGATATTGTCTAAATTCTTACTCTGGTAACCAAATAGAACCTAACTCTAGGCCTAGAACTTAGAATAAAGTTTTGAAGAAATCCAATAAGCATATGAGCTTTTCTACTATTTTTTGATTTATTTTCTACAAAGATGTTTATTTGAGTGACTCTTTTAGTCATATTAAGCAGAATCCAGGGGATATGAATTTTACTTGTATCATTCACTGTTGGAAAAATAATTTGACTTCATTTTTTTTTTTTTTTGCTCAAAATGAAAAGGTATATTATATGATCTCAAGATTCTTTTGGCCTCAAACAGCCTATGATCCTATGTTTGTAGTGATGGAGGTACTGCTTAGAAATAATAGCTGTATAATAGGAAAATTGGGAGGAATTAACATTGAGCACAGTGGAAAGATCTGTGCATCAAACAACAAAATGTTTCTGTAGTATATCTAATGTCTAAATCTACAAAAAGACAGGATAAACAAGATAATTAGTTAATACATACCACATCTTTTGCCACAAAAAAATCTATCAGTGGATAGTAGATGTTGCATGCCCTTCTAAATGCTTTTTAAAAGAATGATGAACTGTATATTAACATGATCATATCTGTTTGGTCTCCTTGCCACAGAACTATTCTCCCCAGTATGATTCATATGATGTCAAGTCTGGAGTAGCAATAGGAGGAGTCGGTGCCTATCCTGGGCCAGCTGTATGTACAAATGTTTCTTAGCACTTTAGAGCTTTATTATCTTTCTGGTTTGTTAAATTTTGAATGGTTGCTCTTCTAGGAATTCAGCATTTTTATGGAATTGTGCAAAATAGCTTATTCTTACTAAGGTTGGAAAAGAAAATGATAGCATTATCATGTTTTTTCGATCTCAACTCATTTTTTCTCATATTATGCCTGTATTGCCACTTCTCCTTTATATAACCACCTGGTGTGCAGAGGTCCATCTTCCTTCATGCTTAGGTCTCACACTCACATATTCTCTAATTTTAATCACATTTTGTTACTCACTTCCACATTTCCTGTTTCTCATCTAAGTTCTTCAGAATCTTCCTTTTATGTCTTTTCTTTCATTAAATGCTACTTTACAGATGACAGTCTAGATAATGAATGTCAAATGCCACAATCAGTCTCACCTCCAATTCTCAAATCAAAAATAAATATTTCCAGAATTCATTGATTCTTCAAGTTTATCTTCTTTAAATAATAGCTATTCATCTTGTACCTGAAGGGTTTTCATCGTTGTAAATGACCTAGAGTTTTTATAGAAGAGAATAACTAAAATAATTGAAATCTGGGCACATGTGCACAATATGTACTGGCCCATGTGCATGACCCTGGTTATAGAACAGGCTCTCAGGAGAATCAATAGTAGTGAAAGTTATAATTTCACTGCAGACAACAAGTATGTAAGCGTAAATAAAGCATAGCTCTGGATTCTCTGTTATTGAGGAGGATTGCTGCTCAGACCATTGGATTGTACATTCATGCCTTCCAAAATTAGAGAACAAAATTTTTCCCAATAGATTTAAATGACATATAAAGGAAGACCTTTAGCATTAACATAAAGCATATCACAAAAACAGAATTTTATGTATCTTGACTATTTTAGGAACTGTGATATTTTTGTATGTCTTTCAAAGCCAGAAAGAAAATTATGTTAATTTATGTATACGTTGGGTCTTACTCAGCTACATTCACATTATTAATCCTATTTTTAATCAAATATAAAGTTTTTACTAAAAAACAAAAACTAAAGTCAACACATACCGACATTTCAGAAAAGTGTTTTTAAGAGAAAATGTAAATATACAAATTATTGTTTTATAAATTTACTATTGGTATTTAGAAACAGCTTGCTACAAAACTGAAGCATGCTGCTTTCAGCATGCTGAAGGTTTTCTAGTTTAATCTGTATTTTGGAACAGTAATAAATCAAGTGTTCTATGTAATATGATTCTTGTGTGATCATATAAATCTCTATGTCAATTAATTATGTGATATCTATATCAACATAATTATGGATTTAGGGTTAATTTACATTATTATTTTAGATACCTGATACAGTATTTATAATGTGGCAATAAATATTGCTCCACACTGAGTTTGACTGCCAAGCGAGAAATTGTTTCTTCACCAGTGCAATATAATTCTCATATTGCAGGGATTTTCATAGCATTGTGTACTAATTTTTCCAGATTTTCAATTCCCCTCCTTAGGAGTTCAGGACAACATTTTATAACATTTATTAATAATTTATATGGAATCAGTGAGAATTTCATTAATGTTTGCTTGCTAATATCTTTATTGTAGATCTTGTGAATCAAAAATAGTTATTAAAAATGATTTATAATTGGTCACAGCTTTAACAATGCCAGTATTATTCCCAAAGAGTGTTATAGCTTTGAAGCATGGATAAAGTGGATTTTACATTCATTTATTTTGCTTTTCATTCAAATTTACATTTCAGGGCCCCCCAGGTCCTCCCGGTCCCCCTGGTACATCTGGTCATCCTGGTTCCCCTGTAAGTATAGCCATTAGTGGTGTTTTCTTCATTTTTAGAAAAATCAAATTAATATATATTCTGCTATACTTTAGTAATTCCAGCATGCATAATCCCAATTAACTAGAGAAGTCATACCAAGAAAATGCCTAAGGCTTCAAAGATGGAATTCCATATTTAATTCCTTTCCACCAACAATTATTAGCAATTAAGACCTTGGTAAAATTAAACCACATTAATTTGCATGTGATATAGCTTTTAGTCCAAAACCATTCTTTGTGAACTAAAAGCCATATCACATGCAAATTAATGGAATGCAATATATTAACTTCATTCTGATCTGAAAAAATTTTGGTCTCAATATTTATAAACTGGAGTAAAATTTTGCTGATTACATTCACAATCCTGATTTCTTACTGTCAAGACATAAGTGAATTAAACAAAGATTTTTTGTTACTTTTAAAATATTTACATATTCTACTCACTAGGGATCTCCAGGATACCAAGGCCCCCCTGGTGAACCTGGGCAAGCTGGTCCTGCAGTAAGTAACAATTCAATTTATATTTAATAAGCTGATAATTCCATACAGAACCTACCTTTGTTTTCTCAAACAAGTATAGATCCTTACAAAATGAAGATTACATTTGTCTTTAAATGTGTAAATAACAAAAAGCATTTTATCGAGTCTTTTGGACTCTTTCAATTGTTTAGCCATCTTACAGACACTCCTTAATAAAGGAATTCCCTCATGATTAGCCATCAAAATAGTCCACTTCCCAGAGCTGATACGCATTCTATATATATTAAATATAGATTTCATTTTTCTGTAACCACTCAGTTCATATTATATTTACCCTACTGAAGTAGTAGTTCATTATATCTACTCTACTGAAAAATATGTATAATTATATATATTTACATATGTAAATATGACATATGTAAAAATGTATATATGCATATATGTTAGACAGTAACATATGATCTAAGAGAGTCCTCCAGAAGGATATACTGTGTAAATAAGCAAATAAAAGGGAGTTATTTAAATATAATATTTCATGAAATTTAGAAATACCTTTATATTTAAATATGTTTAATATTCCAAAAAGTGTAAAAATACATTTGAATTTATAAATACACACATGTAATATCAAATACAGATATATGATGCTTTTAATTTTTATTAACAATAAGTTGATATAATGGATGTATAATATTAACTCAGTAAGTATCATTTTCATTATGCGAAACATTAAAAGTTTTTTCTAAAAGGAGGTTCCTTCCTGGAATACATATTGTTTAATAATAAATTGTAACAGAAAACCTTACCAGTCTGTTTGTTTTTTATTTCCTTATTTTCAGGGCCCTCCAGGACCTCCTGGTGCTATGGGTCCATCTGGTCCTGCTGGAAAAGATGTAAGTTTTTAAAAATTCAATAAGAATACAGCAAAATTTAACTTGGGATATTCTAAACAGCATTTGCTTTATGTCAGAATCCCAGAAGAAAAAAATATTATTCAAAATATTGTTGTCTTAACACCATTTTAGCTCATACTAATCTTTGAGTAGCTATACAGCATTTGCATACATACATATAGATAGATCTCATTTGTGGAATTCCAAAATAAAGCCTCAAAGTGCCTTTTGACTGTTGAGATGGCTCATCCCATTGAACATATTATTTAACTGGAGGAGAAGTAAGCATTTCTGTGTGCCTCTTGTAATCATGAAATTGATATCACTGCTTAATGAACTTGAGAACTTATAGATACCTTCAGTTCTATGGCATTCTTTCTTTCCCTTTTAATTTCCAATAGCAAATTATCTTTACTGGGTTGAGGAAGGGCTATATTATTTCAGTGATTAAAAGCACCTGCATTATCTTTCATAAGCTTATGTCAACTTAAGCTTATAAAAGGTGGGAAAGGGCCTCATCATGCCTTCTACCAAGAAAGCTGGTCTCAACTATACGTTTTGGGTAACGATTTTAATGAGTCCTTCATGAGAAAAATGCAAAGTAATCACTGCTTATTGGCTACAATGTATTTTCTCATACATGATCACCTAAATATTCTTTATTTCTCCACCTAGGGAGAGTCAGGTAGACCCGGACGACCTGGAGAGCGAGGATTGCCTGGACCTCCAGTAAGTCTTCAGCATCTACTAAATTAATTGTAGTAATCTTAGCTTGAAAACTATTATGCAACTTAATTGAATTAAACTTAAAAACAGAAAGTGTTTTACTACTAGATTGTGATTCTATTTGAAGGTTCATTAATATTTTTTCATTAATTATTTTTAGGGCATTAAAGGTCCAGCTGGGATACCTGGATTCCCTGGTATGAAAGGACACAGAGTAAGTAGTTTCTCCCTTGCTTACAAGATATCCCATTGGGCTATGTTTACTTGCCTAATGAATTTTACTGGGCAATTATGTACCGAAAAAGGTAATTCTGACAATGAGTTAATTTGGGTTTTTTAAGTTTACGAAGTTTATTTGTTGACCAAACTAGTCATTTTATGCAAAATAAAGGAGTTGATTTCTGATGTATAAAATAATCTTGAAATATATAGTTTTCTTGCTACCACTGTAAGAAAAAATAAAAACCTTTTACGAGTTACGTTTTTTTTTTAACTTACCATGATTTATAGATTGAGTTGAACAACTTTATTCTATTCAAAACCTTATGTACATTCAACCAACTGGGCCTAAAACCTATCAACTTAATTATAATAAAATCTATGAAACTCATGTTTGCTACTCTATAGTTAAGACAACTTTCTTATGAGACTAAATTGCACTTCCTAGTTAGTTCATGTATTCCTGCTGTAAAATCAGTGTGAAATATCTTCAACCCATTTAAACAAGTTTTAAATTATTTAAGTTAATTTTGCAAGTAGTGTTATAAAGATCAATTATAAAAATTCAATGTAAATTTTATCAATCATTCTAGATTATTAACAGATTTTAATAATTTTGCTATTTTTATACACTTTCTAGGGCTTTGATGGACGAAATGGAGAAAAGGGTGAAACAGGTGCTCCTGGCTTAAAGGTAAATCACAACAAAATCATATTTTATAAGTAAAGTCATTAAATATTAAAGCTATATTTAAGATTCATGTTGTGAGGCTTAACTTGTTTTCTGAAATTTATCTGAGTTTCCCTATTAGGTGTGAAAAATTGTAACTAATTGAGATATTAACGCTTCCATGAAAACTGATAACTTGAAGAGTCTAGATTAGAAATAGTTGAGCATCTTAGTATAATTTATCAATTACTTCTCTTTAGTCTTTAAGTTTTTAAATACAGAAATTGAGATTTCTGGTAAATAAAATAGTAACAAAAAATTAATATTGTTAAAATGTATATCTTTTTCTAGGCTCCGTAAACTTTTCCATAATATTCTATATTTAAACATCGATAATGTTCTCTTCCTCTTATATAAAATACTAACATATTTTATATGTACCTAGGGTGAAAACGGTCTTCCAGGTGAAAATGGAGCTCCTGGACCCATGGTAATTATGTTTTTTACATATAATGTTCAGTTTTATTACTAGCCTCATGGTTACCTAAAACTGGCTTTGCTCCCACCCCAACTGTTCTTACACATGTTAAGATTAGAGTAAGACCATACTATCAATTTTTCTCTGTAGGGTCCAAGAGGGGCTCCTGGTGAGAGAGGACGGCCAGGGCTTCCTGGAGCCGCAGTGAGTATTGTTACTAACATTGCTCAACTGCACCCAAAGTGACACGTCAGTGTCTCAGTAGTTTCAGGCTGTACAAATATGCTAGGAAAATGGCTTTCCTACAAAATCATACTCAAAGATACTGTGATAAAGTTTTGGCTATAGTTAAAACAAAATAAATAAATGTTTTACAATTATTATCTATCTCTAGTGAGAATTTTTGTGTTAACTTTTCATATGCCATTAGAGCTATTATATCTGCTTTCATCCCTGAAAACAGAATCCGATCTTTCTACATTTGAATGTTGCTGTATATATCAGAATTGTAACCATTGACTGTAAAATGTATCATTAGTAAGCATATTTCAATGTACTTGAAGAAAACTCAACTCACTTGAGTCAGAATTTTAGTCAAAATATTACTCATGACCAGTCATTCAGAATTAAAAAGATATTTGATGTAAACTTCTCTTTTTAGGGTGCTCGGGGCAATGACGGTGCTCGAGGCAGTGATGGTCAACCAGTAAGTAACTTTATATCTAACTCTTATTTGCTCCAGGATAAAGAGAAATTATGGATTGTGGATTATTTAATATTTTATAAATATCAACTCAGGTATATACACATATGTATATGTGTGTATCTAATACACACATTAGCATTTTTAAAATTTAAAAAGTGAAAAAATATTGTAGACCCAATATTCAATATTGTAGACCCAATATTCAATATTGTATATATACATGTGATTAAAACTGGCACTGAGCCCATAAACAAATCTAGGTTCTGATACTGATTCTGCTTGACCAACTGCTAACATTTGAATGGTGCTCTCAATGTTAGTTAATATCCAATATAAGACACGGCACTTAAAAGAGCCCTACAAAATTGATACAATAGATATTATGTCCATTTTTAAACTGGAGTACATAAGCTCAGGGAAAAGTAACCTGCACTAAGCCACAGAATTCATGGCAAAGTAGGGAAAAGCCAAAACTTTCTAACTTTAGATTTCACTCTCTTCCTATTTTACCACATTGTTTCTCCACATTATATCCATAAAATATAAATATCATTTTAATCTGCATAAATATCTTTTTTACTTTATGTGTGCTCACTTATTTACTAGTATGTCAGCTTTCATTTATTTGAAAAAGAGCTCTTGAAATTGTATTTAATTTTTTCAGGGCCCTCCTGGTCCTCCTGGAACTGCCGGATTCCCTGGATCTCCTGGTGCTAAGGTAAACATGTGTTCCTATAGAAGGGTATAAAAATATTTTGGAGACAACAGAAAATCATTAGATTGCTTCTTGCAACTGATTTTTTTGATCAGTCAAATGAATAGCTTTTATCTACACATGTCTTTAAAGCCCTATTCTTGATTCTAAGAAAGGTGTCCCTAGCACTCAACTATCTTGACATTTCTTCTGATGCCTTCTCTCTTTCCCCAGACTCTTTCTAGGAAACAGATAACACAGTTACACACATAGTTATCATTTTTCTCTGCCTTTATGATTAATGATTACTTGCTTTACCAGCAGTAACCTTTGGGAGATGTGTTTAAACAGAACTGAAGGGTGAATTGGCTAAGTGAATAGAAGTGGTAAGAGAAACTGACTACATAAGGTTTTCCATTAGGGTGAAGTTGGGCCTGCAGGGTCTCCTGGTTCAAGTGGCGCCCCTGGACAAAGAGGAGAACCTGGACCTCAGGGACATGCTGGTGCTCAAGGTCCTCCTGTAAGTATGGTGGTTGAAGGAAGAGTGCAGCTACACTTGCTCCATGAAAGCATGTGCTTCAATACCGCTATCAATGAAAATTACTTTGAAAAAAAGTTGCTTAGTGTTCTACAACGATCCTCCTGTGATACATATTGATTTGATTAGGGGTAAAAATGATAGTTTTTGACTGTTGTACTATTCTATAATTCATGATTTTTTATGTATACATAAAAGAATAGAGGATAGTTTTCTGATGTTTCAAGAATGTGCCCCAAGCTAATCACCAATCAAAAATTCAGAGAAGAACCAAACTCAAAATCTCTTCTATTTATGTATTGTTTAATAATTTATACCAAGTACATATTATCTCTAATTTATTTAGATAATGATTCTTCTGATTACATTTCATTTGTGTGTTATAGTTGGAGGATTCACCTAATTTCTACAAAGCATGACGCTCACCCATAAATTTATTTTCACACAAACAACTTCAAATATATACGAACTATTTGCGTTACTATTAATACGTTACCTGTTTTTTGTATACTTAGGGCCCTCCTGGGAGTAACGGTAGTCCTGGTGGTAAAGGCGAAATGGTAAGCTGCCCCCACTACTCACCCTTACCTCATCCACACATTTGTGGCTTTTACATTTTGCGTGACAATAGATTTGTGATATTTAAGTGAGATATTCAGAAAAGAACATTCAAGTTTGGCTAATGTTAGTGTCTTTGGTTTGTTCTCAGGGTCCTGCTGGCATTCCTGGAGCTCCTGGACTGATTGGAGCCAGGGGTCCTCCAGGACCACCCGGTGCTAATGGTGCTCCTGGACTGCGAGGTGGTGCAGTAAGTTCCCTTCTTTTTTCTCTATTTTCTGAAAGTTATAGTTTAATTCCAACAACAAAAGCTTAATAGCAAACTTTTTGCTCCTGTTCAGTTGAATTTATATTGATTTCATTCTTGTCTTATAACTGAATTATGTGTTATTGATGACAATTTTGTTGGTTGAATCTTCCCTGTTTTTCAACCAAGACTTTGTTATACTTTAGGGTGAGCCTGGTAAGAATGGTGCCAAAGGAGAGCCAGGACCACGAGGTGAACGCGTAAGTATTACTCCAACAGATCTGGTTATTTCTTGGGAAACTGCAACATAATTAGAAAGTAAACAGGTAAAACTTTGAACTAAGTTGATTACTTTACCTTTTTTTTTTTTTTTTTTCTTTAGGGTGAGGCTGGTACTCCAGGTATTCCAGGAGCTAAAGGTGAAGATGGCAAGGACGGATCACCTGGAGAACCTGGTGCAAATGGGCTTCCAGGAGCTGCAGGAGAAAGGGTATGTTTTCCATGGGGCATAAATAAACAAAAAACAAAACAAACCAAAAAAAACCAGCATCATTGTCATCTACATAAACCTAACTTCAGGGTGAAATAGCCAATATTTCTTATGTTGAGTGCTCAATGGCAAATATTGTTTAAAGCATTTGTAACATAAAAATATTATTTGCCACTCTATGAAAAAGAATTACAATCTTTTGGACAGAAATATTTGTCTTTCATTATTTTCAGGGTGCCCCTGGGTTCCGAGGACCTGCTGGACCAAATGGTGTTCCAGGGGAAAAGGTGGATAACTTTAGTTTCTATATTCCTAAATGCTAGCACCACAAATAGGTATTTCTTCTATACAATTTCCCATTAATGAAAACCTAAATAACTGAAAAACATATATTGGAGCTTAAAAAAATTCCTAATGTAAAACAATTGCAACTTCTGTTCAATCAGTTTAAGCCACTTACTTACCCTCTATGAGAATCCTCACTTATCTGTTAATTGAAAAGTATTTATCTGAGCATCATTGCAAGAGTACAATAAACTAAAATGCCTGAAAGGTCTTTAAAAACGCTAAAGTTTTATGCAAATATGATTTTATATCATTAAGATATTTGATTTTAGGTGCACAAAGTATGTTTTTAACCACACTAAATATTGTTTTTTTAAGTATGTGATGTTCACGCAGTTGCTTCAAAATTTTTTCAATATGGCAATCCAAGCCAAGATAATTGATTTTACATAGAAATTTTTCAGCAACACATCACCCCTTTTGAAAAGTCCAAATGATGTTCTCTATTTGTAACCAAAACATTGTTGATATCTAGGTCAGTGAAGGCTATGTTAATTTTTTTTATTTCTTTCACTAACTAGGGTCCCGCTGGAGAGCGTGGTGCTCCAGGACCCGCAGGGCCCAGAGGAGCAGCTGGAGAACCTGGCAGAGATGGTCTCCCTGGAGGTCCAGGCATGAGGGTACAGAGAAACATTTGTTTGAATGACAATTTAGTAAGAAGAAATACAAGACAAATGAAGACAGATCAAAAGTAACTTAATCAGATTACGTCTTTTGTAAGGCCCAAAACAAAGCAAAATTATTTTAAGTTAACTAAAGCCAGGATAGTTCAAGGAAAACAGAACATAGAACACTTCCCTAAGATTCTTTATAGACAGGGAGAGGATGTGCAAATCTGAGGGCTTCACATGTAAATGAAAATATCAAAATTGTACAAATAGTATATGTTGTATTTTTTTTTTATGATTTCATTTTAAATCGCCTAACAACTGACTTCTTTACTTCAGGGCATGCCTGGAAGTCCAGGAGGACCAGGCAGTGATGGGAAACCAGGGCCTCCCGTATGTACATTTTTTAAATCTCATTTTAAAAGGCCAGTTAAAATGGAATGTATATGTCGGCCTATCCTTGATGATGTTATCTTTATCAAACCTTTATTAAGATAATGTTTTTCTCATTAGGGAAGTCAAGGAGAAAGTGGTCGACCAGGTCCCCCTGGGCCATCTGGTCCCCGAGGTCAGCCTGGTGTCATGGGCTTCCCTGGTCCTAAAGGAAATGATGTGAGTTTCCTCATTAATTTATTCAATAAATATTTGACAGGAGGGCTTTTATTTTCCATATGGAGTGTAGAGATGGTCAAAGCTCAGTCTCCTCTTCAAAGCATGGAGGAGTATATGAAAATAAAATTGTATGTAGGAAGGGAGCTGAATATATAATTGGTTATGGTTGTATGAGTATATATGGAGCAGGCAGATAAAAAATATGAGACAATGATATGATGAGTTATTAGTAAATACTGACCACTTCTTCTTTAGGGTGCTCCTGGTAAGAATGGAGAACGAGGTGGCCCTGGAGGACCTGGCCCTCAGGTATGTAGCTTTCATCAATTTATTTCTAGTCTTCAAATAGATGCATTCATCTCTAACCTTATGACTTCTCTCTGTAATTTGTATTATTTCTACTTCCCTAACGGCTCTTGTTTTTAGGGTCCTGCTGGAAAGAATGGTGAAACTGGACCTCAGGGACCCCCAGGGCCTACTGTAAGTTTATTCACACAAAATTGGAGATGAAAATAGGGTGGAGGGGGGGCAGGAGGAATACTTCAAAAATTACATAATCTCTGACACTATGTTATTATAGCTTACTAAAGCAATGATGAAACTTGCTGATCTAGTTATCTAGCTAAATGCTGCACCGAGTTAGAGCTTATATGTGTGCTTTAGGCCCAGATCCTCTCATTTCTTCACATCACTACTTTTAAAATGAAGCAATAGGCCTGTTGAAGTGGATACTGTAAACTAGATACAAAAGGATGTTTATAATAAAATGTATCATTATACTTTTGCAGGGGCCTGGTGGTGACAAAGGAGACACAGGACCCCCAGGTCCACCGGGATTACAAGTAAGACTTTGTTTTTGAATGCCATGGCATACCTGACTATTCAAATTGTGTCCCTAATAGATTATAAATTATCTGAAGCTTAATCTGTGAGTCTGCCTTTCATCTGAAAATAAAATGTCAGGCAATATTAATAGATAGGCATATCTTCCATCTCCATTCCAGAGTACATTAATAAGTTATTTAGAAGAATTAATGGAACTCATATAATTCTATTTGCTTATACTTATTTTTATTATAATATAAATCTATATAGCCAAATCTATCTTGCCATGCTTGTCAATACATTTTTATATGTAGCAACTGAAAGAATGGAGAGAGATGAGCATGGATTTGTAAGATATGATTATCCCATATGTGTCACTGGATTTTGAGTGGCACAACGTTTCTACCCCAAAAAAGATCACTGAAAATATTTTTTTAATATCTTGCAGAAACATGTGCACATATGAGAAACTTTTCTATAAGCCGTTTTTGAAGTAATTGCCTGATACAATCATGATTCTTTCTAGGGCTTGCCTGGAACAGGTGGTCCTCCAGGAGAAAATGGAAAACCTGGGGAACCAGTGAGTAACATTTCATTTCTGAAAACTCAGAAAACAAAAGAATACATAATAATTGTTTGTCAACTATTAACTTTTTAAATATCTTATGCCATGATATCTGAGATTTAACATTTAGTTTTGAAATATTATCAAAACAAAGACAAGTTATTTATAAGATAACTATTATATAGAGTTTGAATTTTTCCATAGAGTTCATAGTTTCAGGATTTGAAAAATTATATAATATGCCAACATAACAAATGTGTATTTTGCTTATATTTACATAAAATGCATTCTGATGTGGGCCTAACCATATAATGCCAACCTCCTAGGGTCCAAAGGGTGATGCCGGTGCACCTGGAGCTCCAGGAGGCAAGGTAGTATTTCAATTTATTCTCTAACTTCTTCAGTATGTTATAGAGCAATTCATTAGTGGTATATTTATAGTGTAACAAGCCAAATACTCTTTCTTTAAAAGAGCGTTGTTGCAAATATTTGATAAGTATGCTTAGAGAAACTCAAGACATTTTCAATACATTAAATTTGCTTTAATCTGGAAAGTCCAATTCTCTGACATTCATCATCACTACAGAATCAAATACGGGCTTAAAATTTCAAATGGAAAGTACTGCCAATATGTTGACTCTATGTAGGAAAACTATTCTTGTAAAAGAATTTTAAAATGTTGCCCTTGTGAATAAAATAATAATATGTGTTTCAATGACAGCTCACACTTAAGCAGACTAAGTATCCAAGTTCTCTTTTATACACTCAATCAAGTGTCCAGTTCCCACTCAGCTGATCAACTGTTTACAAGTATATAAATTTCCAAATTGTTCACAATATAAATTAATAACCTAGTGGCCTGCTTCAAAATGGTGCAATTTAAGGTGTTTTGGTTTTAGCTTTGGGTTTTCTAATACGGTTATTTATATATTTTTATCACAGGGTGATGCTGGTGCCCCTGGCGAACGTGGACCTCCTGGACTGGCAGGGGCCCCAGGACTTAGAGGTGGAGCTGGTCCTCCTGGTCCTGAAGGAGGAAAGGTACCTCCACATAATTCCATTCACCTAGGTTTTAAAAATGCATTTGGTTTCCTTCTGATCATTTATTATTTCTCACTTATTTTCAGGGACCTGCTGGCCCTCCTGGGCCACCTGGTACTGCTGGTAGTCCTGGTCTTCAAGGAATGCCTGGAGAAAGAGGAGGTCCTGGAAGTCCTGGTCCAAAAGGCGACAAGGTATTGACATGCTTTCTCTTACTTCTTCAATAAATCAGACATTGTACGTTTTTTTAAAAAGCAACACTCCTGGAAAGTAATTAACTGTATTTTCAAAATTAATGTTATCATTTTATAGTAAGTGCAATTAAGAGGGATTCCTAGAGCAACAATGAATTAGAACACCCAATATATATATCAACGAATGCTAATGGTTACTCCTCTTCTTGGCCAATTTTCTCTGAAGATGCTTTGAATCTGATGACACTGGATGTTATTTGACAGGGTGAACCAGGTGGTGCAGGTGCTGATGGTGTCCCAGGGAAAGACGGTCCGAGGGTAAGTATTTGCAGTGAGGAGAAGCAGGCCTTACCTATATGTTATATGGGACAGTCCTGCACTTCAACTTTTATTTTTTCCAAAAACTACTCAAGATAAATTAGATCGTTTACCACATTTCGAGCACTAAAAAACCCAAATGACGTGATTTATAATTAAATTCTTGGTTTGTATCTATGGCTACCTGATAGGTCTACAGTGATAAAGAATGAAAAAAAAACTCAAAAGTATGAAAGGTCACAAACTAGCATTTGTAAGTCACTAAAATCTGAGATAATCACCAAATTTAAGATAATCAATGCTGCTCATTAAGAAACTAAAAGTCATCAAAATTCAATACAATAAGTGCTCCTAATTAATAGACTTTATATTAAAGAATTATAATAGTATGATGATTCTCACTATGGAACCGTATTTAGCAACAAAAGGGGATGAACAGTTGATGTACACACAGCAAATTGTACGAACCTCAAGTACAACATACTCAGTGAAGAACATTCAGTCTCCATGGGATACATACTGCATGATTCCATTCCTATAATATTTACAAAATAACATGCTTTTAGAGCTGTAGATTAGTGGTTGCCAAGAGTTAGCAATGAGAAAGAAAGAGATGAATGTGGCTATGGAGATGTGACACAAGGGAGTCTTATGATGACTGAACATTTCAGTATCTTGGTTGTGTGGTAGCCATGCAAGTCTACACATGGAATGAAATTCTACATAGCTGCATACACATACACACATGAATGAGTGTGTGTATCACTGGTGAAATCTGAGCAAGCTCTGTGGATGGTATCAGTGTCAATTTCCTAGTTTTGATATTATACTATAGTTGTGTAAGATGTTAACATTAGGGGAGGCTAGGAGAAAGGTGCACAGAAAGTCCCTGTGTGTTTCTTTGCAACATCCTGTGAATCTGTAATTCAAAGAAAAAGTCAAAACCAAAACAAAAAACATATTCTAAATAGGATTATAATTAAGTCAGTTAATAAATGTATATAACAGTTACCTTAAAGAAATTCATAACTACTTCACTTTTGACAGACTAAATAGATAAACCATCATTCAAGAAAAAAAAAGTGCTCAATACTTTACTTATGTAATATAAGTAAAACTACTATTTGGACATTTCAAGTTGAAAAATTTAATATGTATGATAATACTTTGAGAAAACATTTAAGTTATCAATCAATTGAATAAAGAAATGTACTTTAAAAAGACATTACTGGAAGATCTTACATGACATCCTATTTATCTTCTACAATAGAGATAAAGGTAAATGAATCAATAAACCACTGCTGAATCCTATTTTCTTCTGTAGTCATCTCCAAAGAATCTTGTATTTACTGAGCTCTGCAGTATTTACACATTGAGTGAAAAGCATAGCATTCAAGCCATAACAAATTTAAAAATTATGTTATCTAGTTTGTTAGATATCTATGTCTGTACACTCACTAATTATTACAAAAGAAAGTTGTATCTTCAAAATCAAAATGTATTTTTATTTTCTCTAGGGTCCTACTGGTCCTATTGGCCCCCCTGGTCCAGCTGGCCAGCCTGGAGATAAGGTAACACTTAGTACTCTCTGGAAATAAAAAGAAAATATCTGTGTCTATTGGATGCAAGACAGTGACACTCTTTCTCTTTTTCCAGGGTGAAGGTGGTGCCCCCGGGCTTCCAGGTGTAGCTGGACCTCGTGGTGGCCCTGTAAGTGTTAAAGACATTCTCAACATATTTTTAACCCCATACAGACAGTATGCTTCCCTTTTTAGCAATTCTGCCCCGGGTTCCTTAAGCCTCAATTTGGAGATAACTATCTTCAGGAACCATATAGCATGCAAGGGAATGTTAAATTTCTTAAATCTAAAATTCACAAGAGATCATTTTAAATCAGGATTTCTTTCCTAAATAACTTTAGAAAAATATAGAAATCATACAAGTAGTATATGTTTGTAATTATGAATTTCTTAATGTATAGAATCTCTGCCTGAGACTTCTTTTGGATTTAAAATTCTTGACCCTCAGGATTTAACACTCTGGAAAGATATTTAGTAAATGTTTTCTAAAAATAAATCAGTTATAACTTTGGAAAAATATAGAAATCGTACAAGTAGTATATGTTTGTAATTATGAATTTCTTAATGTATAGAATCTCTGCCTGAGACTTCTTTTGGATTTAAAATTCTTGACCCTCAGGATTTAACACTCTGGAAAGATATTTAGTAAATGTTTTCTAAAAATAAATCAGTTAATTAACTTTTCAATTGAGTCTCTACCATACATTGAAATACATATATATCTCTATGTATAATTAAATATGTTAAGTACTTTAAAATTCTCAAACTATTTTTCTTGCAAATAATATCACAGTAGGAGGCAGAAGGAATCTGTGGTTCTGATAATGGCCACTCATAATTTTGTTGAGAAATGGAAAAGTCTTCAGAAGTTTATTCATTACTCTGCACATTTCCTGCTTAAAGGAAAGAAAAGATAAGATGATAAGATGACATTTCCTGCTTAAAAGACGTGATGCACACTCCCATCAGGATATCTTCACTGTGACTAAGGAGGATATTTTTCTCTTCAGGGTGAGAGAGGTGAACCTGGCCCTCCAGGACCTGCTGGCTTTCCTGGTGCTCCTGTAAGTGTGAACATTTACATGTACATGACTCATAGCCCAGAACCTCTATCTTACTGAAAAATCACAAAAGTACAGTCAAGTTTGGATTCTAGTCCCATTTTAGCCACTCATTCCTTATAAGATTATTGTACCCCTATTTTTTTTTTTACTTTACTGCTATTGTCACTCTTTAAAAGATGGAAATTAAAACATCTGTCCTGCCTTTATGACTGGGTAATGAACTAAAGCAGCACCATAGATTTAAATTCACTCTGAATTTTTGTGAATCCGTCCATTATAAAGTGGCACTAATTAAAATTTGCTCTTAAATCCAGTCTTTCTCAAATAAATTTACTGGTGCTGATTTTCAAATGCTCAATCCTTAGAGAGACTTCCTCCCTAAAGGCAAATAATATACAGTTTATGCTTTCTGGGTCGTGTTCTTTGATCATGAAAATAATTTTGATTGGCTTTGTTTTGTCATGTCTTCAGAGAGCCTTATTTTGAAATTTTATTTCAACTCCTTCCATCTGAAGAATTCTATATTCTGAAGAAAAATAATAATAAGCCAAGTGAATCATAAAGAATGTCAGCTGAGAGATTGTTGTTGTTGTTGCGTGTAGGGACAAAATGGTGAACCTGGTGGTAAAGGAGAAAGAGGGGCTCCAGGTGAGAAAGGTGAAGGAGGCCCTCCTGGAGTTGCAGGACCCCCTGGAGGTTCCGGACCTGCTGTAAGTTCTCTCCTCTGTCTATCTATCTATCATCTATCTATCTATCTATCTATCTATCTATCTATCTATCTATCTGTATATCCTTCTCTCTCTCCCTCTCTTCCATCTCTAAGTGCTAAGTGTTCTAATGGAAAAATACAGAGGTTTGTCAGTAATTTAATACTTTATACTGAGATAGCATGTCATAATGGCAAGAGTATAACCTTTATATGAATATAGTCGGAGTTTGAATCTCAGCACCAGCAGCCTAAATGTTATTTTAACTTCTTCACAGAGTTACTGGTTTTCAAAGGCTTAATCCTTTCCCCAAATTTTGATGTTGGTACTATACTTATCCACCTTCCTTCCATTTCATATAGGGTCCTCCTGGTCCCCAAGGTGTCAAAGGTGAACGTGGCAGTCCTGGTGGACCTGTAAGTATTGATTCTCTTCACTATTATTCTCTAAACTATTACTGAAATGCATTCATTGATATTAACATGTATAAAAGCTGCATTTGAGATACTAGATCCATAAAGAGAAAGTAAAAATTGTAATCACTCATTCATACATGAGTTATATGTAAATTCCAAGGGGAAAGAGCAAACCATAAATGAATTTCAGGTACAATGCAGATCATACCACACATTGTACTTTTTGTTTGTTGTATAGCTATTTGTTCTACTTTTGAAATTCAAAAATGTATTACCATTTCACAGGGTGCTGCTGGCTTCCCCGGTGCTCGTGGTCTTCCTGGTCCTCCTGGTAATAATGTAAGTACATTTTAAAGTCTTTTCTCATCATATACTTCGGAAAAAGCATTCATATATGTATAGGATGAGAAACTTACACTTTGCTACTTATTTCTCTATTAAGTCTCAAACAAAATTATTTGAAGTAAAAAAGGAAAGAAAAAAATGCATTTTTATTATAAATATTCAAATTTCAAACAATTCTTTGTAGGGTAACCCAGGACCCCCAGGTCCCGGCGGTTCTCCAGGCAAGGATGGGCCCCCAGGTCCTGCGGGTAACACTGGTGCTCCTGGCAGCCCCGGAGTGTCTGGACCAAAAGGTGATGCTGGCCAACCAGGAGAGAAGGGATCACCTGGTGCCCAGGGCCCCCCAGTAAGTAACTTCATTTTTTTTATTGATTGACAGTACTATTTTGGTTTTTATCACAAACTGATTAGAGAAAAACATTGTCACATAAAGATGAGCTGAGTCTTCATTATCTGTATTAGGGAGCTCCAGGCCCACTTGGAATTGCTGGAATTACAGGAGCACGGGGTCTTGCAGGACCACCAGGCATGCCAGGTCCTAGGGGAAGCCCTGGCCCTCAGGGCGTCAAGGTGAGTATAGACATTTTTCACTACACTCTTGCTTTCTTTGGTAGCCTTCGGAGATCACTTAACCATATCCAGGATGAAAGGTTCTCCTGTAATTGGGGTACCAAGTAGCCAAAAAATTATTTTAAAAATATTTTTAGACTTTTCGAAGCACACATTTTACTAAATAACTCCAGAACACAAAAACAGCTCACATCACAGACCAACCTTGAATATACACACAAATAAACTGAAACAACTCTTTTAGGAAACTTGTGAATACTCTTCAATTTGTCGACTGTCAGTTTTAAAGGAGGAAATGGTGTTAGCTTATAGATCTAGGAAAGTCTTTCATCGATGCCCGTTATCCATCCATTCAAGTCATCTTGCACTCCTGGCTCTTTTTCACTAGTATTATATTCTTATAATATTGTAGTGCTTAGCATCTAAAACATTCATTTGGTAAATAGAGTAATAAAATTGCATTTTTATTAGGCCTCATATTATGACACTTTAAGCACTTATTTCAACAAAAAGTTATATAATATTGTCATAAAATTAATATTTAAGTGTATTCAATTGATATGATATTTCTAGTAAGTATATATTCTTAAGATAGAGATAAATAACCTAATTTTAATGGTCTCCATAAATCTAGTTTCATGATGGTTCATTATTATTTTTTTCTTGTAATACTCATGTCTATGTATATATCTCGTATTAGAATGTACAGTATTCTGAATTAGATAATCAATGTAACTTTTCAGCCCTTTGACATCCAGAGTCACTGGGCAAGTTAGGAAATGCAAGTGGCTTGCTCCCCCAAACTTTTTCCCCATAACTGGTATAGTTTTAATTTTACAGTTCAATAAAAATTGAATCAAATAAGATTTTTTTCCTGAAAATAAAGATATCTGGTAACACCATATTAATTGATTTCTTAAGTTAAAACAAAATGTCTTTCATTCCTTTGTATACAGGGTGAAAGTGGGAAACCAGGTGCTAATGGTCTCAGTGGAGAACGTGGTCCCCCTGGACCCCAGGGTCTTCCTGGTCTGGCTGGTGCAGCTGGTGAACCTGGAAGAGATGTAAGTAGTCCTTCTTGGGAAGTGTTCAACCAGCCAGGTATAATTTGATAATTTATTTAAGCCAAGGTGAAATTGAGCCTTAATGTCTATGAGTGCAAATATGGCCACATAGCAAAGTTCTTCTTTCTCTAATAATAGAAATTCTTTCATTACAGCTTAGAATAGGCTTAAAGCCTCTTGTTCATTAATATTTACCCAATAAATAATCATTAGTGGAGAAAATATTATCTCTAAGTAAATTAGGAAAAAAGTTAATGGAGAGAACCACAATTTACGGTTTCTGAGTGAAAATGTTCTGCAGTATCTGTGATCAGTCTTTTATTAATTTTAAATAAATATTATTTATAATTGACAAATCATAATTGTATACCTTTATAAGGGACAATGTGATGCTTTAATATATGTTTACAAGGTAGAATGATTAAAGCAAACTAATTAAACTATAGATTTCCATTAACAGTTTAGATAACTATTTCTAGACCTTTACTGTTAAGATTCTTTTTGGATATTATTTTTCTAATCACCTCTCCTCCTCTCGTCCTGTGAAATTTTAGTACCACAAATATGCTAAATATCTGTTTAGATATTGTGACCCTTTGAAAGACCACACTTCATTGTAATATCTAAGAAATTTTACCCCTGAGAACCAGTTTTTACCCCCTTGAAAATTATATTGCCCTGCTGACGATGCATGGCTTAAATGGCATTTTGGAAGGTTTCAAGAAACTTTATTTCCTTTCTCATTTTTTAATCAGGGAAACCCTGGATCTGATGGTCTTCCAGGCCGAGATGGATCTCCTGGTGGCAAGGTATAATAAACATATATGCAATAGATTTGTGTAATTAAAAAAAGTGATCATCATGTTTATTTTGGACCTGTGAATTTGTTCACAGGGTGATCGTGGTGAAAACGGCTCTCCTGGTGCCCCTGGCGCTCCTGGTCATCCAGGCCCACCCGGTCCTGTCGGTCCATCTGGAAAGAGTGGTGACAGAGGAGAAACTGTGAGTTCCTGGGAGCAGCATCTCTTGTTTGTCTATTTCCTTCAATAAAGATATTTGTAGGTAGAAGATACAATGTCAGATCTGCCAATCAAAATATCCACTATCATTTATTTTACAGTTTTCATGCTAATTGTTCCTTAGAAAAATGTGTTAATAAAGAAATACCAGAAGTACCTGGCAGTAGTCAATGAAGAATTCATTACTAAAACCCAAAATCATATTAATCAAACCGACTATCTATTTGCTGGGTGAATACAAGGCCAAATTAACAGGGCTCTTGCGTAGTTTTTCTGTTTAGATCACGATAAAGCTGTAAACAGGGATGTAGGACTTTGAAGGAAAAACAATATTAACTTCCAATAATTGCATACATACTATAATTCTATCCTAATGAAATTATTTACTTTTGAAAACAAAGTTGTGTCAACACGTAAAAATAATTCCTTGTATGTTAGCTCATTTGAATGTTTTCATCTTAGGGTCCTGCTGGCCCTGCTGGTGCTCCTGGTCCTGCTGGTGCCCGAGGTGCTCCTGTAAGTTTTGTCATGTTATTTTGTTGGTTTTTTTGTTTGGTTTGTTTTTAAACTCATTCTACAGGCAGGAAAAATTTTATTTTCTGGCATGTTCAGGAACAAAGGATGAGAAAAAGAAATATATATATATATATATATATATATTTATGGAAGAACTGTAAACTCTCCTTTGATGATAATGATATGGAAAACAGTTCAGGATCTAAAAGTTCTTTGGAGCCAAGGATATAAATATCAGTTGTTAGGGATCCATGCAATTATCAGTCCAAAATTAAAACAACCACAAAAACAGTCTCATTTCATATATCAAGTGTCTGTTGATGGGGGACTTTTTAGCTGATAGAAAGCCATATAATATAATTATTATAAATTCTATTTTATTTTTCCAATACGTACGTGTGTATATGACTTCAATTCAAAATGTGTTTCTAAAGGGTCCTCAAGGCCCACGTGGTGACAAAGGTGAAACAGGTGAACGTGGCGCTAATGGCATCAAAGGACATCGAGGATTCCCTGGTAATCCAGGTGCCCCAGGTTCTCCAGTAAGTGCATTCATTTTGTTGGAAAATCCCTTCAATGTATAACTGACAAATTTTAGAGATTAAGAGAAGAAAGCTTTCCATCTCTAAAAGAATGTGCTACAAGAGATGAGAAATTGACTTGAGGGCTAATTCGAAACAATGATCAACATGAAACAATGGGGAGATTAACGAAAGAAAAAAAAATTCATCATGATCCCCACGTTTCTTGATATGATCTTGAATGCAGAGTTTCCCAAAGTTTTTTAAGGCCTTCACTCATATGCACACTTCCTTTCCTTCCAGGGTCCTGCTGGTCACCAGGGTGCAATCGGTAGTCCAGGACCTGCAGGCCCCAGAGTAAGTAGTAGAGAAAGATGTTAGAGGTCCACGTGTTTAAAATGCCTGCACTTCAGAAAAATATTCCAGCATTGTGGTATCATGATACTTTTTTTAGGGACCTGTTGGACCCAGTGGGCCTCCTGGCAAAGATGGAACCAGTGGACATCCAGGTCCCATTGGACCACCAGGACCTCGAGGTAACAGAGGTGAAAGAGGATCTGAGGTAAGACATCACTTACACGTATGTGTATTTAATTTGCTGTAATCTTCCAATTTTCAGAAACACTGTGCATTATCTTTAAACTGAAACAGTAAGTTAGACACAAGGCAATCACTCAATTTAAAAAATGAACAATGACTTTAAGACATTCTCCATCACATTAAAAATTTTTCTACCACACTATAACAGGAGAAAAATATCTTTTTTACAATTTGATGAAGTAACCATGGTATCAGAATAATGACATCTGCCCAAGTTACCAAATGAACCCATGCCACACTTGTTATCACACTAGAAATCTCGGAATTACAACATTCATAATTATTTGCATTTATGTAGTGACTTTTACTTCTCAAACAGCTTCTCTGGTTACTAATTTGTTAATGATACCATCACTCATAATACTGTCTATCCCATGCCTTTGGGGTAACTGACATAAAAACCATTATCCCAACAAATTACATGCCCCTTTGTCATGTCAATATTACAATCACAGCTCATGGGTATTTGCTTACATCATTCATCCAGAAGGAAGAATGATAGAGAAAACTTGTGCTCTGACACCACTGATTCTTACATAGTGGAATAACACCTTTCTTGGTAATGAATTGTAATTATTATAAATCAGTGATCGTGTTACCCTAAAAGCACCCAAATAAACCTTCAGTAAAATAATTATGATGACACAATGAGTGAATGATTTGAATTATTTTTAAGTCATTTTCTTGGACTGGCATTGTATTCTTAGATTGGCGACCAAACAAGCATACCTCATTGATGCATGTTTTACTCATTCTAGGGCTCCCCAGGCCACCCAGGGCAACCAGGCCCCCCTGGACCTCCTGGTGCCCCTGGTCCTTGCTGTGGTGCTGGAGCCGCTGCCATTGCTGGGATTGGAGGTGAAAAAGCTGGCGGTTTTGCCCCATATTATGGAGATGAACCAATGGATTTCAAAATCAACACCGATGAGATTATGAATTCACTCAAGTCTGTTAACGGACAAATAGAAAGCCTCATTAGTCCTGATGGTTCTCGTAAAAACCCTGCTAGAAACTGCAGAGACCTGAATTTCTGTCATCCTGAACTCAAGAGTGGTATGTTTGGGAGTCTTTGACCTTAATGGCAACAGGATTAGAGAGAAGGCTGCTTAGATTAGAATGAGAAAGAAAAAACATTCACTTTCAATGGAAAGCTGAAAAAGTACTTTAAGAAAGTTCAAGAAAGTTTACTTAAGAAAGTAAACTTTGCAGATGTAAAATATAACATAAATAACTTCAGAATACGCCAAATATAGAAAGACATAAAAATAATTTTGTAGAAGTTGCAATATAAATCATAAGTTATTTGAGTATAAAGTAACATATCATTTTTTCTCAGGATTAAATATACATAATTTGATACAGACAATTGTGCAATATTTACTAATAATAATTATTTATCTAATTATTATATTTTTAAAATTAAACACATGAAAAATTTCAGAATACTGTACAAAATTAAATAGAATATTATAACAGTTTAAGGTTTTGCATATATTGGGTTAAATATTTCTGTAAAGCAAAATTATTTCAGGTTTCCAAATATCTTGTATGGAACATTGCATTCAATAGGAGTCATTTCTATAAATTAATTAAAATAGGAGACAAGCATCAATCATAGGGACTTCTGCTTTGGAACTACTGGAATAAATCTAGGTTAGACAACCAGCTTATATTATTAAGCAAGATTACACGTAATAATTATCTTTTTTTAAAAAAAAAAAAGAGAGACGTTTGCTAATATTATACAACAATGAAAAGGTCTTAGCTTAGTGTATCATCTTTATTAGAAACCTTGATGCTACATTTTATTTCAGTGCTTTCTATGGTCATAGCTAACTCTTTTACCTCAGCAATTTCAATCAAAAAGTCTGTCTATCATTCTATACATAAAATGCAGACACATTAGCAGTCAACATTAGAAATGCTTTTACAGGTAGACAAACAAAATCATTTTATTGCTGGATTTTATAACCAAATCCCATTCTTCTTTTTCGTGACTATTCAGGAGAATATTGGATTGACCCTAACCAAGGATGCAAATTGGATGCTATCAAGGTATTCTGTAATATGGAAACTGGGGAAACATGTATAAGCGCCAGTCCTTCGAATGTTCCACAGAAACACTGGTGGACAGATTCTGGTGCTGAGAAGAAACACATTTGGTTTGGAGAGTCCATGGATGGTGGTTTTCAGGTAAGAAAGGATATACCTTTTTTTAAATAAGTCATCACCATTTTCTTTTTGTTCTTCCTATATGTTTATCACAAAGCAAAGTTATTAGGTTGGTGCAAATGTAATTGTGATTTTTGCCTTTGAAAGTGACAGCAAAAACCACAATTACATTTGCACCAACCTAAGAGCTAATAACTAGAAGAGCTCAAATGATTTTATATAGCCAGGTGACTATACTTTTGTAACCTTATTCTCAATAAAACCTAAGCTATATTAAATTATTTTTGTATGCAGATAACTTTCTTTCGCATCTTAAGACCTTTTTTACTCTGGCATGCAATAAAAAATATGTTCACACATAAAATAGCATACATAAAATATATAAAAAGCCCATACTACAATATGCATACACATACTACTTGAATCCCTTGCATGCAGTTCCAGCTAAAATGGTTGATCTGGTTTATTTGTTTCCTATTACAGTTTAGCTATGGCAATCCTGAACTTCCTGAAGATATCCTTGATGTGCAGCTGGCATTCCTTCGACTTCTCTCCAGCCGAGCCTCCCAGAACATCACATATCACTGCAAAAATAGCATTGCATACATGGATCAGGCCAGTGGAAATGTAAAGAAGGCCCTCAAGTTGATGGGGTCAAATGAAGGTGAATTCAAGGCTGAAGGAAATAGCAAATTCACCTATACAGTTCTGGAGGATGGTTGCACGGTAAGAAAGAACATTTTTCTACATATAGGTCATAATGCAGTCAGCATTTCTAGTTTAATCATGAAAGTTATTTTGAATAGATGAAAAAAATTAAAATTAATAGGATGAAATAAAGATAGCATTTGGTATGAATTACATACATTGCATCTCCTGATTCATTGCAAGGAGTGTTAAATGCAACAAAAAGTAAATGGATTTTAGACTCCAGATGAAAACCAGTTGACATAAAAGCATTTGAAATTTAAATCCATAATGCAAACGTCGTCAGATAATTGGGACATTTGCTACATGTTTTGAATAATATCTGTCACATTAACTAAATCTGAAATGTCTGCTTTTTTAAATTTTAAAGGTTAACTTCAAATCTCTCCTTTGTTATTGTTATTTGTGAACAAAAGGAATACTCACTTCTAATATTAGCAAATTTCATCCAGAGTGACCTATTATAAAACTGTTAGCAATGACCAGAACCAGGTCTCGTGAGGATGCACTGGTCTATAGCAGTCTCCCTGCTGCAATCATTTATTAAGAACCCCTACAAGGTATTTGTTTAAGAATAGTGTTTATCAACTAAGAAGATTACAGCTTTGAAGTGGAGCAGATCTCATATACATGAATAATCACATGGCACAATGAATGTTCCTTTAGAACAAAAAGGTTTTTTTAACTTGATCAGTCAGAGTTGTCTTAATAATTTTAATGTCATGGTCACTTATATTTTGTCCTTTTTAACAGAAACACACTGGGGAATGGAGCAAAACAGTCTTTGAGTATCGAACACGCAAGGCCGTGAGACTACCTATTGTAGATATTGCACCCTACGACATTGGTGGTCCTGATCAAGAATTTGGTGTGGACGTTGGACCTGTTTGCTTTTTATAAACCAAACTCTATCTGAAACCCCAACAACAACAAAATTCGCTCCATATGTGTTCTTCTTGTTCTAATCTTGTCAACCGGTACAAGTGACCCACAAAATTCCAGTTATTTATTTCCAAAATGTTTGGAAAGAGTATAATTTGACAATGAAAAATGATAGATTTTTTTTTTTTTTTTTTGCTGTTCCTCCACATACAAGTCAAATGCTTTTTGTTTTATTTTTTTACCAATTCCAATTTCAAAATGTCTCAATGGTGCTATAATAAATAAACTTCAACACTCTTAACGATAACAACACTGTGTTATATTCTTTGAATCCTAGCCCATCTGCAGAGCAATGACTATGCTCACCAGTAAAAGATAACATTTCTTTCTGAAATAGTCAAACATGAAATTAGAAAAGCCCTTCCTATTTTAACTACCTCAACTGGTCAGAAACACAGATTGTATTCTATGAGTCCCAGAAGACAAAAAAAAATTTATAAGTTGACAAAACTTATAAATTTCATTGATTAATCTCCTGGAAGATTGGTTTATAAAGAAGAGTATAGTGCAAGAAATTAAAGAAATATTTTAAAGCCACAATTATTTTAATCTTGGATATCAACAGCTTTTAAAGGTGCTTCTCTTTTTTCTTGTCATTGCTGGTCAAGATTACTAATATTTGGAAGGCTTTAAAGACAAATGGTGCTAATGTACTTTCACTTCTAAACTCTAGATCAGAATTGTTGACTTGCATTCAGAACATAAATGCACAAAATCTGTACGTGTCTCCTGTCAGAAAGATTAATTGGCATGCCTTGGGGGATTCTCCCCCTTCATCCTGTAAAAGTCAACAATAAAAACCAAATTATGGGGCTGCTTTTGTCACAATAGTATAGAGAATGTGTTGAAATTTAACTTTGTAAGCTTGTATGTGGTTGTTGATCTTTTTTTTTTCTTACAGACACCCATAATAAAATATCATATTAAAATTCTCCTGGTTTTTGTCACTTTTCAGAGATTTTAAAATTCATATCTACACTAATGAACTCCAGTAATCTTGAAAAAGTATGTTGAATTCTAATTCTATAGATTAATAATCCAATAACATTTAAGAATATGAAATAATGTAACATATGTTCAGACTAGAGATAATGCTCAGTGAGGAATCCTGTAGATTTTTAGATCATATTTGGAGACCCCCTGTGGGTCATATTGAACACTGAGAGCATTCTGTTTGAAAGGTTTAATCCCTGGAAATGGTAACATAGTAAATCAAGGTGTCCCCAAAGTGGGAACAATAAGAGAGGAAGACGTTGATAGTTTATCAGAAAGTCATTGTAATATGGATATCTGGAGAAACACATTAATATTAAGAAAAATTGATAAGTGGCCGGGCGCGGTGGCTCAAGCCTGTAATCCCAGCACTTTGGGAGGCCGAGGCGGGTGGATCACGAGGTCAAGAGATTGAGACCAACCTGGTCAACATGGTGAAACCCCGTCTCTACTAAAAATACAAAAAATTAGCTGGGCATGGTGGTGTGTGCCTGTAATCCCAGCTACTCAGGAGGCTGAGGCAGGAGAATTGCCTGAACCCAGGAGGCGGAGGTTGCGGTGAGCCGAGATCGCGCCATTGCACTCCAACCTGGGTAACATGAGTGAAACTCTGTCTCAAAAAAAAAAAAGAAAAAAGAAAAATTTACAAGTACCACATGATCTCATTTCTATGTGGAATATAAAAGAATTGAATTCGTTAATGTAGAATAGAACGGGTGAGGGAGGGGTGAGGTTGGGAGATGTTAGTCTATGGATACAAATTTTCAGTGAGATAGGAGTAATAAGTTCAAGAGATCTATTGTACAATATGGTGACCACAGTCAATAATTATGTATTATGTTTTTAAGAATTACTAAGAGTGTAAGTGTTCTCACCACAAGAAACAATGAGAATATGAGCTACTGCATATATATGTATATATGTATATGCATCTCTGCCTACATATATATACACATACTCGTATGTATACTATATATGTAGAGAGAAACAGAGAGAGAGAGAGAGAGAGAGAGAACTCAAACCAATAGTATGAATTAATAAACTAGATATAGATACTTGGAGTTTTATTTTAGGCCAAGAAAGATAACTAGATCACAATGTTCTGCCTCCTGTATTTGTAACATAATATATCATGGAAAGTAGTTCATTTTACTATATAGCTCTAACTTATTGTGTGTTATTGATCCCAATACTCAGCTTAGTGAACATACTAGAGTTAAAATTACTTGTTTGCCTATTTTTTTATTTATTTGCTACCAAGCATCTAAAGTCTTATCTCACTGCAGGGAATTTACAATCAAATGAGTCTTGGTTGAGGTTGGAGGCCATAGACCCTTGCTTTCCTAACCTCTCTTCAGTTAGGCTTTAGGCAAGTGACCATGTGACCTGAGCTTGACAAATTAGAGACACACGCCTGAAGGTTTCAATCTGTAGATAGTTGTATTCATTTCATCTTACTGTGATAGCAAGTTACCATAAATTTAGTGACTTAAAAACCACACAGATTTGCTGTTTTACATTTCTGAACATCAAAAGTCTAAACTGAGTCTTGCTGGACTAAAATCCAAGTGTCAAGCAAAGTTGTCTTCCTTTCTAGGGACACTAGGGAGAAACTGTGGGTTCCCATTTTCAGCTTCCAGAGGCTACCCAGCTTCCTTGGTTCATGAGCCATTTCCAGCATCAAAGCCAGAAATATTTGGTCGAGTCTCTGTCACATTGTGTCATTCTGACATTGGCTCTTCTGCCTTCCTATTTCACTTATATGTAACAGAATTATTGCATTGGGCCCAATTGGATAATCCAAGGTACTCTCCCCATTTCAAGGTCAGTTGGTAAGCAACCTTAATGCCTGCTGCAACCTTAATTTATCCTTACCTTGCCAAATAAGGTAATATATTTACTGGTTCTGTGGATTAGGATATGAACATATTTGAGGGAGTATAATTTCACCTACCAATGATAGTGATGCAAAGAAGTCAAAAGGATTAAAAATCCAGTTTGGAGGTGATCACAGCTAACAGTTGGGGAAGTGACTGCCAGATATCACAAGAAGCATGGCCAATAGTGCCAGAAATGGTATCCAGTGTCTTGTGTTTATGATGGCTTTGCCAGGTTGCTTTTAGGATATGATTTTGAAGATGGCTCTGAATGTCAGCATTCACTTCATTTTTGTTGATTTTATGAACCTGGATTCTATAGCTTTCACTGAGTTCCTCTGAACTTCAGATAAAAATCTATAAATTACATTTTTACTTCAGTCAGCCAAGCACAGTTTAGATTGTTTACAACTAAGAAGCCTGACTAGACCAGCAATTGGTAACAGCAGAGCTGGCAGGAAGCAAAAATGCAAGCAAATGGAAAGACTCTGAGATCATGTTTGTACTAGTTAAGGGTGAAAGTAAAAAATCCAGCTTGTATCCAGGAATGAGAAATTGGAAGCCCATGGAAATAGGATTAATCATTTATGATTGCATGAAGTGATTTGCACTTTAAAGACAAGGCTTAGGGAGATAAGTGGCCTCTACTACATGACAGTATGTTTGAATTTTATGAGAAATTGCAGGACTGCATGGGAATGTGGCTGCTGTGAATGGTGGTCAACCAAAAGAGAATGGCAAGTTCAAGTCCCTAACTTTTTTGGTTTAAGACACAGAAGAAAATCTATGCCCCTTCCCTGACTATGCTACAATAAAGACATACTATCTTTCTGGAAAAAATAAAATCATATTTTTCCAAAGGTTTGATATACTAAAAACCAAATACAAATCTTAATTCTGCAGATCACTAGACTTCAACATAAATCTAAATGGATTTTCCAATTCTCTATTTGATTGCTCTATAATTGGGAAATAGTAAGACCCTGGAAATTTAAATGGGGTTTATGGAAGAATTCCCTTTAAACATTCCAGTTTTACATTAAGTTTCTTTAGACATCTGAAATGGGATCTGCATTTCCTTGCCCGGTAATTGTTTTCCCATTCTTAAGATGCAAGATGACAAGAAAAAGCGAATTTTCTTCAGACCTCGTTCTCACCACTGCTTATTGTCTTCAGATTTGTAACTAAAGTCAGATCCCAGAATGCCTCAGGGGTAGCTATTTAAAGGTCAATCTCAAGAAGAGGTTTACACATAAAAAGAATGAAAGGATTTAACTAATTTATATTGTTTATAATCTGAGAAATCTGTGTGGGTTTTGAGATACTAGACAAAAAAGAACTGTGAAATTTGGACAAAATGTATCAATATATGAATGTAACAAAGAGTTATAGGGACATTATAATTATTGACATGGTTGAACCGAACTCAGGCCTCAGAGGTTGCCCAAACTGAGTGAATTTGAGACATCACAAACTTTCTGAGAGGTGGAGAATGTAATTCAAAAACAGAAGATAGAAATATTGGAGTGAATTTTTCATACGTGACACAATCATTCACCTTCTGAGTACATTCTCAAGGTGGACCAGTAGAGTGTTGAGAAACACTTGGTGGGCTTCATGCCGGCACCTTTGAAAATCTCCTTGTGTTTGTGCAGTCTGGAGATGGAAGTAGAAAAAAAAATCTAGCTGAAATAGGCTTCTTGATTCCAATGGAGGTGGCAGGATCCAAGCTTGCAGAGGACAAAGGAAAACTCTAGACTACCAGAGACAAAGTGAGGATGATATTGTACAAGATAGCAGGACTGTCATGGTAGAAAAAAAAATGGCGTTAACTCAGACGTAACGTTGTTGGTGGCTGATTAATAATGAGAATGAAGGGCTGCCGGGGACAGTCACACTTAGGTCTTTTATAAACAATAATAATTAACTTACTTAGTTCAGGTGCAAGGGATCTCAGATCAGCAACCACACAGGCCTCAATACTTTGCTCAATTCCCAGACTATAAGATGGTTAATAAACCCAGTGCCCTTAAGGAAGCAGAAGTTCAGTGCTCTGGAGGAAATCTCCTGCAATAGAATCGCAATTGATAAGCACTTACCATGGGCCAAGCATTGTTCTAGGCACTTTAAACTGATTAATTTATGTATTACTCACTTTAATTCAATGTGGTACTAGCATTTTCATTTTACCAAAAAAGAAAGAAAGAAAATGAGGTACAAGAGATTAAGTAAGTTGTTCCAAGTCCCCTAACTAATAAGAGAGAGGGCTTAGATTTTAACCCAAATATTTTGGCTTTACAGCTAATACTCTAAGCCATGTTACTAAACAGTCTAAAATATTTACTATATTCTTTCTCCAAATGAAACCTATGTTAACATTTTTGTGATACACTGAAAAAAGATCAGTTGCCTGACTTTGGGGGAACTATGGAAGAGTAATGATAAATTATTACCAGTTACTACAGATTCATAATGCCACTCTAAAACTTGAATTGGAATTTTGATTACTCACTTCTAGGGTTGTCATAGGTCATTCAGGTACCATAATTCAGGTAAGCATGCATTTACCTTACTTGGTAAGTCACATAATCATAAGAGGTTTATTGAGCATCTAATGTGTACCATGTGTGGACGTCATATCTTATCCTAAGTGAATTTCCTCCCCTTTTTAGGCCATGCCTTCTCTATCTCCATTATATTCCTCTACCCAGTCATTAGAGTGCCATCGGTCACTCTACTATCTCTCTTTGACAATCTCATCTATTTCCATAACCCTACTCATTAATTAAATTAAAGATAATTCACAAATTGACTTCTGGCTTCGTGGAACTAAAGATCCTCATGTTCTATGGACTAATTACAATTCCCATTGAAGTTTTGAAATATCTTTAGTGAAGCAAGTAATATAAAGCTTTTAAAGAAATTATTCCAAGAAAAGAGAAGAGCAATAGCATGAGGAGAGGAATGTTCCAGATGTGTTCAAGGAAAAACAAAGGGAACATGTTGGGGCAAAGTTAGCACCTGGGGGAGGAGTATAAGAAATCTTGAATGTCATTTTATTC